CTGCTCTACCCTCCTCTACCCTGCTCTTCCCTCCTCTGCCCACCCTCCTCTGCCCACCCTGCTCTACCCTCCTCTACCCACCCTCCTCTGCCCACCCTGCTCTTCCCTCCTCTGCCCACCCTGCTCTTCCCTCCTCTGCCCACCCTGCTCTACCCTCCTCTGCCCACCCCACTCTACCCTTCTCTTCCCTCCTCTGCCCACCCTCCTCTGCCCACCCTGCCTTGCTTTGCCCGTCCTGCTGCACTCACCCTGCAGTGCCCACCCTGCCTCCTGCCCTGCTGCGCCCACTGCCCTTGCCAGCACCCAGGGAGCCAAGCAGGGCACCTCAGCTGCCTGCGGCTCTGGGTGCTGCTCCTAGAGGTCCGGCCGGCCGTGCATTCCCAGGCTTTGCACCTGGGAGCGGAGCCTCTCCTGCTTACAGAGGCTGTTGGTGTATGATGAAGGGTGCCCAAACCCAGGGGCTCAGAGGGAGTCCCAGGGGCGTGTGCTGGGGGTGCTGTGCAGCTGGCAGTGTGGGTGCAGGGACCTCAATCCACCCCACAGTGTGGCGGGACCTGCCTGGCTCCACGGAGCTTCCAGCAGAAGGGACCCCACAGGACCCCACGCGTCCCTCAGCTCCTTCATCCTCCTTGCACTGGCTTAGCCTTACTGCCTGGCTCCTGCTGCAGAAGCTGATTCTCCATGTTTTGGTTCCAGCGTTGGTGCAAAGGGCTCGGCTTCTGATGTCTCCAGGGCCACCACAGGGGAGGAACAAGGCAGGGCAATGGCAGCGCAATGGCCACGCTGTGTGACCCCAGCTGGACACCCCCACGAGGTGTCTGAGAGCCCCAAAGTCTCCTGGGAAGCTGGGAGTACCTTGCCCCCAGGATTTCACACCTTGCCACCAAAGGCAAGGCAAGGTAAGGCATGTCCTTGCTGGCTTGGCACAGCCTGGGAGAGGTGGGAAGGTGATGCGGTGATTACCCACAGCTTTGGGGTCTCTGGGGACTTGCACAGTACAGGTGGCTACTGCCACAGCCTCTCCCTCTGCTGTTACCCAGTAACGACGACTGGAGGAGGAAGACCAAAAAAGAGAGGTTTGGGGGAGATAACCTCTGCTCTGGTTTGTTTGAGATCTTGAAAGCAATTAAATAATAGCTATTCCTCCCCCCTCGCCCCCCGCCCCTTCCATCACTTATCAAAGAGACAATAGAAAGCAGGAAATTAAGAGTGACTTGGAACAAAGAGCCCAGAGTGAGGCTGCTGATTGCGACAAGAGGGGCTGGGAGGTTCTCATTTGCACTTAGCCATCCACTTCCCAAGGTGGATCTGAAGACACCGGGTCCTGGAGCACAAGTGAGAATTGTGATCATCCTCAAAAATCTTTATGAGGCTGGAAAAAGCTTCTCCCGAAATAAATGATGTGGAAATTAATGTCCCAGTAAAAGTGTGTGAGGAGGGAAGATAGGGAAGAAGATGGTTTGGCTGATGTGGATGAGGGATTGGGTCTCCGCTGGGGTTCGTGTATCCCGTTGCGTGTCACCTGCGCAAGCCCTGAGGGCAGCTCCCTGGGATGCTGCTCCGGGCAGGGTGCCTGCACAGGGACCCAGGGACAGCCACCATGCTCTGCCTGCTGGAAACAAAGGCAGAGGTGCAGGCAGAGCAGAGATGTTCCCCGACAGCGGGGAGGAAGGAATGCGGCACACCGGTGTCACACAGGAGAGGGTTTTGATGCCTTGTGACATTTTTACAGTTGTTTTATCCTCTCTCGGCTGGTTCCTGTGCCCAGGAGGGATGCCCTGACCGTGCCATTCCCTCAAAGCCACATCGGCAGCCAGAAGGGCAGTATAAAGCTTTGCTGTGCACATTTCCAGCGCTGCCTCCTTGAATTTCTCCCCTGAATAGGTGATGCTGCCACATCCCTCCCTGGGGTCCCTCGGCATTCAGCCCCTGCGGTCGGCAAGCTTTGCTCGTAGCAGGTCGGTGTACTGGGGTCCCCCCTCGCCCCGGCACCGAGACTAGCCCTCAGCCTGGGCTCGCAGCAGTTTCTCCCAGCACCCAGTGTGGTGCTGAGCATCGTTTTCCCGCTGTGCCGGCAGGCTGGAATGGCAGACAGCCGGGACAGGGCGAGCGCGGGGATCCCAGTGTGCCAACTGCCAGCCACAGGGCTGTCTGCTGAGCATCAGGGCTTCAGCCACCCTCTGCCCTTCGCTTTCACCTCCGTGGGAGGCTGGTGTTGGATGCAGGGGCCAGGGAGCTGTGTGAATTCAGCCAGCAAGATTGTTTGGCTAGAGCCAGATCTGATCTTCATTATAAAAAACCCCAAACTAATGAAACGATGGGCCGGTGTGTATTAAGGGGCTGATCTGAGCTGATAGCCGTCCAGTGAGGAGTGCAGCACCAGTTAGCTGAATCGGGAAGCCGTGCTTGAGCCTTTTGAAGATATTTTTTTTATTCTGCTTAGATTTAGGGTTGAATTAAAGCCCAGTGTGGAGTCTGATCTGTATCTCTGGGTGGTCCCTGGTTCGGAGAGACATTGTACCCCAGCAGCTGGTTTGGTGCTGGCAGATAAACTCCTCTTTGTCCTTTAGCCTGGGAAGCATCCACTCTGCTGAAAAGCAATTTACTGGCAGGGCTGGATGTAGGAGAAATGCATGGCCTCTTCCCACACGGCTTCGATGGCCGATATAACCCATGGGAGAGGGGCATGGGGATTACGTGACCACAAAGCAGTTTTTAAAGTCCTTCCAAGTTTCCTGCCATCCATTCCCAGCTGTTCTGCAAGAGTCCCTGTGGAAAACAGCTCTTTCGACCCCTGTCCTGGAAATCAGTGTTGTAAGGAGCTGGGGGTTTGGTTGCCAATGGAGGGGTAGGGTGAGCTGGCCTTTCTCCCCGATACGTGGAAGGGAGGCAGCGAGATCTCCAGCATTTTGCAGGAATGAAGGAGGCTGTGTTGGACCAGTGGGGCTTTCTGATCTGTGCTGTGAGATGGCGGAAGGGAACTGGGGGAACTGGGAGGCAGCTGCCGCTCCCCAGCAGTCAGGAGGGGAAGGATTTGCTCCTGAGCGCAGCTCGCCCCGCAGCTTGCTCCTCCTGTGCCCCACTCACCTGCAGCCATGCCGCGCTGCTGGGGGAGAGATGGGGGTACGTGGGGCCAGTCACCCACTTTCGGGTCCCAAGTGGGTGCCATGGGGTCCCCGCGCATGCCCTGCCTGTCTGAGCCCTGCCCATTGCTGTCCTCAGGAGTATTCCGGCCCTTCTGCTGGTCTCTCCCGTTATCTCTGTTAATGACTGATGGCAAAAATGCTGGGTCATCGCTCTGGACTCTGTTTGTGCTGGGGGGACAGGTCCCTGGGGGTTAAAGCTTCCTCTCATCTCCTTTCCTCTGGGTGCCCAGCTGCAGTGTCCCATGGCGTGGTGGGAAGGACGTTTGCAGGGAGCGAAGAGATGCCACGCGTGCCCAAGCCCGCTCCTCCTCCCCAGCATGCTGCCCTTGGAGGGACCCCGCTGTCCCCCGTGGCTGTAGGGACAGGGCCAGCACAGGCAGAGATGACTGTGGTGTTTCCCCTCCCGTGGGCGTTTTGGGTGGCAATCCCCTTTCCTTGCCCTTTCCCTTCCCATCTCCAGCCCAACAGCCACGAGCGGCTTTGGTGGCTCTGCTGACACCGGGCTGGAGGCTGCCTGGCTTAATGACAGGGATGCCTGGAATGGAGGGGAGGCTTTGCTTTCTGCTAATTAGCTGGACAAACAGGCCTGGACTGTCTCCCCGTACCCCTGAGGCAGGGCAGAACCAGGCTGGTTGCTGCCAGACGATGTGATCTAATCGGGCAGTGTCTGCAGCGGTGATTGATGGGGAGGGAGAGGTGCTGGCACCTTCACCTGCAGCCAAGGCGGGCAGAAGCATCCCTCCATGCCCCACAGCATCCAGACCCCACGGGATGCAGGCTTCTCTGCAGCCCCGGCGGGATGAAGGCTCTGCCGGGGGAGACTCGCACCCTCCGAATTCGGCTCCTTCCCTGGGGACTGCCTCTTGCTCTTGCCAGACCTCCCTGCAGACAGGTCCTTCCTTCCGCTCCCGCCTCTCCCATTCCCGCCCTGCTGTTATTTGCCTCTGTAATTAGTTTATTGATCTCTGTCGAGGGTACCGGGGCTGGACTGCAGTGAAACCTGCCGCACACGTTCCCCGTGAATCATATCGCTAAACCCCTGAAGCTAATGAGCCTTTGGCAACCACAGACTGAAATCTCTGCTCCTGCCCGTGCCTCTCCCTGCTATGCCTGGCTTGTTGGAGGGTCGTGCGCATTAAATCGGGACTTAACAGCACTCCGCGTTTGGCAGTCAGGCTTCCTGCACCAGCTTGAAATGCCAGGGTTAGTTACAGCACGCGCCGATCCGCTGGTGCTCGCATCCATCCCCTCCTGTTCAAAGCAGCCGCGGGTCGTAGTTCAGTGCCGGCAGCACTCTGCGCTCCCCCAGCCTTGCACCGGGTCCATCGTGTCTCTCACGGCGGGCCTAAAGCCAGCGGAGAAGCATAAAGCTGTCGCTTTGTGCCCTATGACTAATAGGTGACATTAAGCTCATGGGATGGAGATGGCATGCCCCTGCCTGCGGGTGCTGTGCTGCTCCCGTGCCCTGTCCTCTGGGATGTCTCTCCACGTCCTCGTTCCCTCGACGCCGCAGCCGCCTTGGTGCGGGTCCAGGCTGGCTCCGTCCACCGCCCCAGCTTGGCATGGATGGATTTGCGTTGGGAAAGAGCCCGGCCGTGAGCCCAGCCTGCGCAAAAGGGACGCAGGGCAGGACCACGGGGACCCCGCTTGCTGTGCCGGGCGAACGGCACGTCTGGGGCACCTCCAAACCCGCCTCAGCCTGCGGTGCCGGTGGTCATGGCTGTGCTGGGATCTGTCTCCCTGCACCTTCTGCCTGCCACAGCTACCCCAGACATAGCTAAGGAGTTTTATTGCAAAAAAACAAAGGGATTTGAGTCCTGGCTGCCCAGCAGCCTCAGGGCTCCCCAGTGCCGGGACTAGCGGTGCTGCCCCTTGCAGGGTCTCACGCACCTTAATAAGAGAGTTTGCACAAGAATTTGTGCCCCTTTTGTCTTTTAAAAGGCATTTTAGGGACTCCAGGTCATGCATGGTTGTGGCTGCCGGTCTCATCCTTCCTGGTGCTGTTACAGGCAGGGGCCACACGGGAGCGGCCAGCCCTCCCTGGCTCTGCCTTTACCTGCCTGCACCAGGGTGCAGCAGGAGGGGTAACTGCCCCTCTCTGCCTGGCGTGGGGAAGGGGCTGGACTGGACCCTGTCCCCGTCCCTCACCGGAGCTGAGCTGCGGAGGATGGACAGGAGCGTGCAGGCAGGCGAGAGGAGGAGCGGCAGCCCCGTTATCCCGGGGAAGGTGACGTGGACGTGTCCCCTGCATGCAGAAATGACACTGGGGAAGGGGAGATGCGAGTTGATTTTGCTGATGCTTCTGCACGGACCCTCGTTGCCACCACGACCGTCTCCGTTCCCTGGGGCTGCCCACGCATCCCCAGGCGGGGGCATCCCCGCCAGCTGCCCCCAGACCACGGCAGCATGCAGAACAGGCTTCTCTGTCACCGGTGTCCCCATGGCCAGCCCCGCCGGCTCACCAGCTGTCCCCAGCCCTGCCAGTACCTCCGTCACGGCTGGCCGGGGAACCCCAGGGCGGCGGGGAAAGCTCTGTTTGCTCTGTCCCCACGTCCCTCCCAGCTGGCACCTTGCGCTGCATCTGCCTTGTTCTGGGAGCTAATGAAGGATGCAGGCAATTACAGGGGGAGATTGATTAAATCCTAGATCTGGGAGGTTTCAGATGGCCTTGACCTTTCCCAGCTGTGGCAGGGGAGGCTTATCAAAGGCTGCTAGAAGATAAAACACTCTCACAAAGAAGGGTTATGTTGCAAAAGAGCTGGCTGCGTCCCTCTGCCACCCCCTGCACCCTCTGGCATGGCCCAGCGACCCCCGAGGCTGGCCGGGCTCCCCCTGCCCCATGGCCATGGGCATAAGCCAACGTGGCTGAGCTGCTGAGGAGGATTTGGTGCCGGAGCTGCTTCTTGCCGCCAGCCCGTCGGGGGCCGCAGGCTTGGCCACCGTGTGCCCCATGACGGTGCTTGGAGGGGACGTCAACGGGTGGGAGAGGATGGGGTCCGAAAGCTGCAGCGGGGATGGATGCCAGGGGTAACGGTGGGGTTTGTTTGCTCCCGTTAGGTATCGCAGCCTGCCACGTGCTGATTGTGAAGGTGCAGGCTCTGGTCGTTAATGAGCGTGGCTGATTAATTGCGCCGCACGGGCACAGCTCGCCGCCAACCATGTCGGGGGGCCATGCTCGCAAAGGTGCTGGGTGGACAGGATGGGTCACTCTCAGGGCACCTCAACCCAAAGACCAGGAGCTGCCCTTTAAACAGCCCAGCCTGGGGGTCACCCTGC